CGCCCCAGCCCCAGGCAAATACTAATCTGCTTTCTGACTCTGTATTTGTTCATTCTGGACATTTCATGTAAGTAGAATCATACAGGAAGTGCTTCTTTGTGGTGACTGGATTCTTTTGCTTAATATAGGGTTGTGCTTTGAAAGCTCATCTGTGTTGTAGTGTGTATCAATATTTCACTTTTCACTATGGAGGATCCTCATATTTTAATATTTATTTTTATTTTACAGATAAGAAAACAACCTCAGAGAGGATGATGACTTATCAAAGTCATATAGGTAGTTCATGCAGGGCCTGAACTCAGCCTGTAAACTATAACACATTTTGGGGTCTATCTGCTGTGAACGATGTTCTCTGTAACCTGTCACTTGGAGGCTTCAGCATGGACAAGCTGGGGCCAAAAGGATCTGGGGAAGGGTGGGAGGGGTCCCCTGCAGCTACTGCAGGCTCTATCCACGAGCACTGAGGGTAAAGTAAGGGCTGGGTAGAGTTGGACTTGGGATCCAGGTCATGTAGAGTGGGGGAGGGGAGACAGGAGGAATTAGGAGGGGAGGAGGAGTTAACTGGGTGGGGCACAATAGTAGGCAGTGACAATTTCTGGGCTAGGGCACAGAGCCATGGGCACTGGTATGTGGTCCAAAGTCCAGACACAGCAATGCAAAGCCTGGGCTGAGTTTATCTTCTTGCTTGGACCTGCTCTGCCCTCAACGACAGTGGAACAGGTAGCTGCCTTAGTGGTAAAGGGAAGTGGCTTTTAGGGCTGCTGAGATTGGAGGGCTCAGAAAGAAGGCTCTAGGATCCATCTGGAAATACTAGCTTAGAGCTGGGGGATTTGCAGAGGCTCCGTGAAGGAGGGATGAAATTAGGAACCAAACCAGAGGGCAGCAGGCCCCAGAGAAACCCAGGGAGAGGGAGAACTCAGCTTACTTGGCCTGCCTAGGAGCTTCCTGAGGGCAGGTCTGTCTTCCTTGGCTGTCTCCATAGCCCAGTCCCTGCTAGAGGCTCCAAGGTTGGCTGCTGTGGGCTGGGATGCAATCAACGTCCGCACAATCAGAAACTCCCATTTTTAGGTGCCCGAGGAGGACGTGTGCAAAAGGAAGTCAGGGAACACTGGCTGATTCTGGTGGTGAGGACAAACATCCTAACTCATGCTCCTGGACTTGGCATGTCATGTCACCTTACAGCTACCACTGGGAGAAAAGTAACTTCCCGTGGATGAGAGGCTGATAAATATTAACACTCTCTGTAATGAGTTGCAGATCCAAGGGTGCTCTAGTGTCATCAGAGGCTGCCCTCAGCCTCCGGTAGGAGCAGTCCCTGTCCTCCTGTGGCCTTATCCTCACTTGACCCGATAGGTTATTTACAGAAGTAGGATTTGGAAAGAATATTCTTCACCTGAGGGTTTACCCCTCAGGCTGCTCTGGAAGTTCCTAGTGTCCCAAGAGGTGGAGCCTAGGGTCTGGAAGCTCTGGCCTGAGAGGAGGCTGAGGGAAGCTGGTCTCTGGTGCTGGGAGGGGAGGCAGGCTGAAGCTCTGGGAGCTGAGATAAACAGATGCAGGCCAGGGTCAGGCTGAGGGCACCTGACCAGTAAAGGGAGCGCCAGCCCCCTCCTTGGGGTGCTTACATCTCTGCACCTGTGCAGGCCCAGCGTGCCTGCCCCTACTAGTTTGCTCCAGGACCTGAAGAAGAGTGGGTATTTCCTGTGCAAGTACGGGCAAAGTGCTTTCACCGATGTCTCATTTGATTTTTATCACGACCTGAGGAAGCCGGGCTTCTGACAGTGTCTGAGCTTTACTGTTAAGACAGGCTGGTGTCTCTTCTCTATTCTCAGCGGCCCTTGGCCCAGGGTGCCCTCTTGGTTCTCTCTGTAGCTGCCCATGGCCGACCCATTTCCTTGGCCCGTCCCTGTCTGCTGCAGCCCTCACCAGCTCCACCCCACCCCCACCCTCTGAATTCAGAGCACTTAACTGGCTGTGCCTGTATTGGACACTGAGCCTGTGACATCTTTGGGGATGTCTTGTGTTATGATTCATTTCCTAGTTATGGAGACAGAGGCAAAACAATCAACTTTGTTGAGATTCAGTTCAACCATTAAAGGGGTGTCTTGTTTTATGGAGTTGTTTTGAGGACCGAGTGAAATAACGTGTGGGGTGAAATGCGGAACCCTCCACGGCAGGTTCCTTCCAGCCTTGCTGTCCAGTTGTTCTACACGACCTGCCCATCTGTGTCTTTCACATCCTCCCCACACGCCTTGTAGCTGCTCAGGCGGCTGCAGGCTTGAAAGAACTAATCAGCCTAGCCTCCCTACAAGGGGGAACGGAGTGAACTGTTCCAGGAGAAGCTTTTGCTGACAGATTTCAAGAACCAGCAAAGGAAAAGAAATACAGAAAAAGGGAAAAAAAGAAAGAAAAAAAAAAAGAAAGAAAAGAACCAGCAGTAAAGGAAATACTAGTGAGTCTTCAATCTGGACCAATCTGATATTCAGATATTTGGGGGAGCTCAGAAGTCTCATGGTGATCCTGGTCCTGATGAGCTTCTCTGGCGCCCGAGTGGTTGCTGACCTTTCTTTCTGCAGTGTGAGTGTGAACAGACTCCTAGCACCCTCATTCCTGTGTGTGGTAACCCCAGAAACACTCGAACACAACACAAATACCAACAGGATTTTATTTAAAGGCAGAAACAAAGATCATCAAAGTTGTGTAAAAATAAGTTAAGAGCATGGTTAGAATTTCAAATAATCAGATAAACAATTTAAAGGAGGTGATTTCTCCCTCCTGTCCTACTGATTAATTCAACATAACATAAAAGTTACTGTCTATACAATATCCTTATTCCCAAGCAAACAAACTGGAGATGGCTCTAAGCTTTCCTTGGCTATAGATTATGCACACAACCTATACCTGCCTGCAGCCCTGGTCAGGCTCCAACCTTGCAGGCAGAGGGTGGGCTCAGAAAAGCAGTTGGCTGTGCTGAGGACACCAGAAGTTTCTCTGCTGGAAGATGCCTGCTTGGTCCCTGAGTGGCAGGTCGCTCAGAATCCTTTGCCTCACTACAGAAGGAAGGAGCTGGAGTCCTGGCAGGAGGAACATTCCTCAGGGCCATGCTGACTGGGTCTCAAGGTACCAACGGTCTAGGTGGCTGGTAGTTTCAGGCTGTGACAGGCCTAAGGAAGCGGGCCTGGTGCCTCCTGCTTGTCAGACAGGGCCGAGGGAGGGTGGGCAGGTAGCCCCTTCCCTCGGTCCCTCAGGCTGCATCAGTGTGTCTTGGAGTACTGAGAAGAAAATATCCGAGCGATCCTGCGAGTTTCTTCCTCAGGCAGGGCGGGAGGGAGTGAGTGTGGTCTGGGGCGACAAGGCCTCTGGGAGAAGGCTCCTCTGGTGGCTTCACTTTGGTCCTGAAGGAGAAGTCCGCTAGTTTAGCCCCAAGGATGCGGCTCATGTTCTGGCTCTTGGGCTAACATTCACGTAGAGCTGACTGGTTCACAAAGCCCTTTGTATACCATGTCTTTTATTTTGGTACTGGGGATTGAATTTAGGATGTTGCGCTTGCGAGGCAGGCACAGTGCCAGAGCTAAATCCCTGGGCCTCATAACACCATACCTTGTCAAATCCTCACCTAAACTCCACGAGGTGGATAGATCATTTCCCCACCACTGTGGATGAAGAATCCACAGTTCAAGTGGAATAAACTCAAGGTCCTGCAGCTCTGAGTGGCAGAGCTGAGATGGGGCCCAGACTCACATTTTCTGTGCCTCTGGAGTAGGGGGCTGTCACCTCTAGTAGAGGTCTCTTCTCTGGCTGTATAATTCTAGACAGATCACTGTTCTGAGTGTGTCATGTGTGACCCTGGCACTGTATCTAACTCTGCTGGGGAAGATGCTGGTGAATGATATACTGTTTGTCCTGCACTATTAGGGCTTCCAGGTGACACGGAGCACGCACCCATTACCCTGTTATCCCACACCCCCAGCCCCTTTCCGTCTTGGCATACTAGGGTCAGGTCAGGTCAAGGCCACACAGTAAATCCACCCTGGGCAGCTGGCTGAGAAGGGTCCTGGGGAAGAGGCATGAAAGGAGAGGGAAGTAGCAGCCACAGGCAAACTCAGCTCACTTTCTCAGCATGCAGCTGCACTCCGGATAAATCTCTCTTCTCTATCCCCAAATCCCATGAGCAGAGATCTCTCCCAGCTGATGGAGCGCTGAGAGCACAATGTGCTGCTGCTGGGCACTGAAAACATCGGCGTGGTGGAGACTAGAGACTGTGACCATTTCCCCCATCACCTAAAGTTCTAATGGGAAACAGGCCTGGAGAAACTTGGTTCTGAGATCAGTAATTTGGAAATCTCTTCTTCCCATTTATTTTGTCTTTTTAACGTCTACTGTGAAAAGGAGAGAGAAGTGGACAGAACTCAATTCCTCCCTTTGGAGCTCAGTATTAGAGACAGAGGTGTCTACTCAAAGGGTTAGAATAGCAGCCAGAATGAGGGGAGTAGGGATTGGGCAGAATTGTTCTACTGCTTGGCTGTCAGTTTTCCTCCTCTGAAAAAGGTACCCGACAGTAAAGAATTCTAAACACTAAGGGGTGAGTACAAGCTGAGCAAGGTCTCAGCAGTCTGCCCACAGGATAGCAAGAGCAAGTGGTGCTAGTGCTGAGCTGCACAGCAGAGTTTAGAGGACACAGCCCTCTTACGCAGGCCTAGGCTAAGGGAGAAGATCACCCTTTGTTGATTTTCACTTCTTCCTTCCAAACTCTGGGGAGCAGCTGCATGACATAACACCTCAGCCAGGGGATGCCAGCGAGGCAGCCTGTGCTGCTGCCCTTCCCTCCACACCGGACACTTCTGCAGGGCGTGGCCTGGCTCCAATGCATGGGACTCCAGCTGGGCCAAGTCCGACACCGGAGTTTGGGAGCTGTAGACCAGTGAATGGGTAGGACCATGCCGTGGTGATCACAGGTTTAAATCAGGTGGGAGGAAACTTCCGCTTGCAGCAAGCATCCCACTCATTCTTAGAACAAGTGGTTGTTGGCCTACCATGTGCCAGGCCTTTAGTGAAGTCAAATGCTCGCAGGGTCTCCAGCACATTAAGCTTCTATATGCCCCACTGTACCCACAAGGTCTAAGGTGAGTGTTTCCCAAGCTACTTGGGGTTTAGAGGTGGCACAAGTCGAATTCCAGCCTTCTGTCTGTAGCGTAGATGGATCTTCTGGGTCACTAGGTGTAACTTACTTTCCCTTTCTATCTCTACTATATCAAAAGGGAAGCAAGGGGATTTTTGTTTAAAAAGCCAGGTGATAAAAGCTTGGTTTTCTATCTCAAATCTTAAAACTAGGTCTTTGTTTCCTCATCAGCCAGAACAGAAGCATTCTCCATTTTGGAGACACTTAGATGGGTCTCATCTCCAAGGCTGGAAGGGCCAACTACTTCAGCTTGTGAAACAACCATGGAAGAATAATGCTGGTGATGCAACAAAACTTTTAGAAGCCTCAGATCTACTCAACTCGATCAATTCGTATAGATAACAGGTACATCTGGTTCCTGTCCTCATGGGGCTGCTCAGGCTAGACAGACAGCCACTGACCTACCCAACAGTCACACAGGAAAGCTTGAAGCTTGAGAGCACTGGAAAAGGAGCAACTAGTAAGAGCTGGGAAGGTCTGGGGAGGCCTCTCTCAGAGCTGGGATCCAAGATAGGCAGGGTTTCAACAGAGCTGGGTGGGGGTGAGGCCACCCATTAAGGGAAAAGCGCGAGCATGGCCTGCAGCTGTGGGCTGGGGCCATCTCTGCCCCAGGGCTGAATCCGGTACAGCTGGTTTAGTCAACCTTCCAGCACCCACATCGTATCTGTACAGTCCAGACCTGGGGGGCAGGACTGAGACTTGACTTAGTTCTGTGTACAGGGCAGGGCAGGGGTGTGGAAGGACAGAACACACTCAGCAACATCTGGCTTCAGTCAACCTTAAAACAGTTTAAGGAAAATCTTGACGTAGTAAAGGTTCTTTCTTCAAGGTTACTACCCCCAAACACACAACCCTAGGGCAAATTGCCTAGAGCAGGGATACCTTCAAATGTACTAACTGCTCCTCTGAAATATTTCCATACTCCAGCAATGTGGCAGGCACAAGAAAATGGTCAGACCAAGACCTGTCTTGTGAAGGTACAGGATCCCAGTAATGAATGTAACTGTATTATAGACCTAGATTGTACCAATAACTACCCCCAAACACACAACCCTAGGGCAAATTGCCTAGAGCAGGGATACCTTCAAATGTACTAACTGCTCCTCTGAAATATTTCCATACTCCAGCAATGTGGCAGGCACAAGAAAATGGTCAGACCAAGACCTGTCTTGTGAAGGTACAGGATCCCAGTAATGAATGTAACTGTATTATAGACCTAGATTGTACCAATAAACTCAAAAAAGAGCCATCAGCCTTCCTGGGGAGGAAGGAAGGGGCCACATGGAAGCAGAGCTGTAGAGCTGCAGGCGCTGCAGGGCCCTGGAGTCTAAATGGTGGGTGCCATACATGGGGTGCAGCTCCTGGAGGGTACTCTGAAAAAACATGAAGGCAGAGATTGAACATGAAAAGACGGAAGAGAGTATCCCAGGTGACGGCTGGTTTGAACAATGGCATAGAGAATTGCTTTGCTGGCAAAGCAGTGGGCCTGGACTGAGGGAATGCAGGTAGTAGAAGACAGACATACTTTTATTTTTTGAGACAGTCTCGTTTAGTTCAGGCTGGCCTCAAACTCACAGTGATCCTCCTGCCTCAGCCTCCAGAGTAATGGGATTACAGGCGTGTGCCACCATACCCTGCATGAAGACAAACTTAGAAAAAGGGGCTTAGGGTAGTTTCCGAGTGTTTGAGGAGTTGATTTACTCCTCTTGAACCTCAAAGAGCTGATCTGTAAAGCACAGGGGTAGGTGGGTGGTGTGCGTGACACAGACAGAGGCAGAGGCAGACAGACAAGAGGACCTGCTCTTTTCTGGGCACTCAGATGCCCATGAACATGGTAGGGCTTCCCAGCGATAGAAGTGACTTACAAGAGCCCTCAATGCCAAAGATGAGCCTCTTCTGGGGAGAAAATGAGCCATGGAAGGAATAGAGTGGTGGAAGGATAATGTGGGGCTTCCTAGGGCTCCCCAAACAAGATGCTAACCCTGACTGGAGAGTTAGCTCTAGTTCTCCTGGCTCTACCACTTCTTTGCAAAGTGGTAGAGTCATTTACAATCTCTCTGGGTCTTGGCGCTCTCTGAAAATAGGAGCAGGATGAACACAATGTGGAGGTGTCTGCCAACCACAGACTTATAGCCTAGTCTGTGGCTTCCTCTTTGGCCAGTTCCCTATAATTTAGCCTCTTCTCCAAAAGGTCTGAATGTGATCTGATCCCAGCCCTTGTATTCTGATTTCCTCTACTTCACCCCAGAGAGTTCTCTGTGGACAGGCCACATGTTTGGGGGGGGGTGGTTGGTAGGTGCAGGTGTCCTCAATTCCCCTACCCCCACTTCAGGGTATCCCAGGGTCTTTCCAGGGAGAGGCAGTGAGGAGTGAAAGAATCACTGGTCTGTGGCCCAGCCCAATCTCATTTGCTCAAAACAAAGACACTTTCTATTTCTGGGTCTCAGCATCTGTGCTGCCAAGTGGCGCTAAGAACTTCTATCTGGTCTTCTTACTCAGATCTACTGTGAAGCCCAAAGGAAATTCAGATATGATTATGGCTTAGGCCAGGTAAAATATCTTGCAAAACACAGGGGCTATGCTGGAGCTGACATTGGCTGATGACACCAGAGCAAAACGAAGTCCTGCTGTTCCCCCCGTGGCAAGAAGTTAGGCCCAAAACGTCTGGAGTAGAACCGGAGCACAGCATCTCCCCAAGATGTGCTCAGTGCTAGGCCAGGCCAAGCTCTCCCGACTCCACTGTTTTCCCCTTTTCTCCTTACAGTGAGCTTCTGGCCTGGGGTTAGGGCTGATGTTTTTTTTTTTCCACAGTAGCTCCCTTAAGTGATGGAAACACTGACTCAGGACTCAGGAGCTGAAAACTGAAAGTAAACAGCACCTCGTGGACTGCTGCCTCAGACAGTGAGACCTCAGCACAGCTGCTTGCCTCATTCACCTTTCACCCCCTCGGCTGTCTGCCTTCCCGTGGGCCTGCTCCCAGAGTCTTCTCCTCATGCAGTGACGAGGTCTTCCTTGGTGCTAAATGCAGCAGCAAGCTTAGCGGCCATAGTTAGAAGCAGGGGCAAAATGGGGACAAGATACTTTGAACATAGCTGGGTATGGTGGCACAGGCCCATAAACCTAACTATTCTGGAGGCTGAGACAGGACAATCTTAAGTTCAAGTTCAGCCTGAGCAGTTTAGAGAACACTCTCTCAAAAGATTTTTAAAAAGCTGGGTAAGTAGCTCAGCACTCCCTGGGCTCAATCCCCAGCATTGCAAAAGAAACAAAACTAAAATAAAACAAAAAATACTTTAACCAGAAGGTGTGTCTCTTCCCACTGGTAAAGTAGGATAAAAGTGATTAGAGTGGAAGCTCACCTCGGCTGTAGTATAGAGAATGGAGAAATGTGAGTAAGATTAGTTAGACATGGTTCTGTGGGAGATAGCTAGGGCTGGGCAAGGGAATACTGAGAAGTGAGTGGGTTCACATCAAGGGGTAGAATTCAGAGGCCTTGGGCCAGGGATTTAGCTCAGGGGTTCTGGCAGCTGTCTCGAAAGCACAAGGAATTCAAGCCCTGGTGCAAAAAAAAAAAAAAAAAAAAAAGGTAATGGGTTGGCTATGGGTTGTGAGGTCTAAAGGAGGAGTGAAAGATGACAGTTATGCTCTGGCAGGATCAACCACATGGATGGTGGTCAAATTTCCTGCAATAAGAAATTCAGGTGCTACAGGTGGTATGCAAAGTTCAAGTTTGGGACGTAATTAATTGCTTGTATCCAGGTGTGGTAAGAGTGATGTCTATGTCTCATCAGAAAAATGGAACACAAGGGCTGGGGATTTAACTTAGTGGTGCCTGCCTTGCAAGCGCAATGTCCTGAGTTTGATCCCCAGTACCTTGCCCCCTGAAAAGGAACACAAGAAAACCCAAAGTAGAATTCTATAGTCAATGAGGGAATTTTTAAAAAATGAAGGCAGAATAAAGATATTTTCAGACAACTAAACTGAGAGCATCAGTTACCAGTAGATCTGCACTCTGTGAAATGGTCCAAGGCAGAAATCAGGATGTGAGGAAGGAATGGAAAACATTAGAGATAGTAAATATATGAATAAATAGATTACTTTTTTGTCTTAAATTGTTCAAAGTGAGGCCATTTTTGAGATCATTAGGGATCCCAAATTCTGAGATTACAGTGCCCCTGCTCAAATATAACTGCCAAATGAAATCCCTAATCAACTGTTAAGTGTAAGGAGGTCAAAGTTCTGACTTATCCCATGGTAACTATTTCAATGTTTTGAAAACATCGAATTCTTGAAAACATTTTTCTCTTACTTTTTGGAGACTTTACTTGCTAGTGTCAAACTAATTAACAGAGATAGTCTTTAAAGAACAGTCTTTTTTTGTTTGTTTGTTTTGTTTTTTTGAGACAGGGTCTGACTATGTAGTTGAGACTGACCTGGAACTCACTATGTAGCTCAGGCTGGTCTCGAATTCACAATGATCCTCCTGCCTCAGCCTCTTGAGTGCTGGGATTACAGGCGTGCTCCACCACACCCGGCTCAGTCTTATTTATTTGGGACTAAACAGGAAGCAATGCAATACGGGGCATATGTACCTTGGAAACCATGAGTATATTATAAGGGGATGGGGTAGAAACTTTTAGAGGAAAAACGAGGAGGATAACATAAGTTGTCTTGCAACAGTCACCCTTGGTCACAAGGATCAATAACAAGGGTGGCACCAGATAGGTGTCCTTGTGGAGGGTTTTTTGTTTTGTTTTGTTTTTTTGTGGAAGTATTTTATGAGTAAGGTTGGTAGTGACCTTTCTTTATCCAGACCTCACTCACCTGCCGGAGTCCCCTGCAGATGCACCTTCTGTTGCAGTCCTCCACTGCTCCCTTCCTTTGCTTAGCTGGAGCTCCGAGAGCACTCGGTATGCCGTTCTTAGCTGACTCTTGCTTTTATTCTTCTGTGCTGCTTTTTCCCCCTAGACCATGTCAGTCTTAGCCGACAGTGCCCTGCTCTCACACATCTGATCTTCCCTGAGCTCCTTGCCCAGCAGAATATGCTCAGTGGTAGTGAGGAGTGACTGCTACTGCAGTCTTTCCAGGAGATGGTCCAGGGCAGCTCTGCACTGTGCAGACACTTTTAGGGAAACAGAATGACCCTACACTGGCTGTCTTCTTACCTGATCTTCTGTGGCTGGTGGTGGCAAAGCTGTAGAGAGTGAGAGCATCCGTAGGGAGGCCTCCAACTGCTGGGGAGGCAAAAAGAAGTTGGGCACAACGATGGGCTCTGGCCTGTACTGGTAGTTAAGGGACAAAGACACCTAGACGTCTACCCCACTGCCAGACCAGCATCTCCACTGACCTCAGTCACACCATTTGTTTCCCCCTTTATTGGCAGAAGTTGTGCACTCCTAACAAGTCACAGTCTGTGCTTTGAGTCACTTTAAATCTCACCTTTTCCAGGAAGGCTTCTCCTAATTTTAGCCCACAGTGAACCCTCCTTCCTTATGTGCGAGCGCAGTCTGCCACACAGAAGAATGCTTAGTAGTCATGACTGTCAACTTGTTCCCTCAATATTCCTTGTTTCTCAGTGGTAGGGAGTGTGGTTTCCTTCACGTACCTTAGCGCCTCCCTTGATCCTGGCATAAGGCTGGCAGGCAGCAGGTGCTGCATGATCCTTGTAGAGGGCCCACTGGTGAAAAGCTGAGTTGTTAAAGAGAGGAGAGACAGGGAACAGGTGGGAAGGTGGCTCCAGGGGCAGTGCCTTACGTAGGACAGAGGCGCCTGGCCTTGAAGGAGGTCTGCCTGCCCGTCCTCTGATCACATTTAGAAACAAAGGTTCTACATTAAGGGGTTGTCTGGGAGCACAGGTGGCCTACCCAACAGGTTTTCTATTTTATCATTGCTCTTCTATGTCTGACCCAACAGGGCAGAGACGATCTTTTTTTAGCCATATTCTCATCACCTAGCACGGTGTCTGAGGTGGAGCTAGTGCTCTATTGACTTGAATGAAATGCATTCATGCCCAGTTTTGGTTAGTCCCTGATTTTTTTTTTGAGACAGGGTCTCACTATGCAGTTCAGGCTGGCCTTGAACTATGTATGCATCCCCAGCTGGCCTCAAACTTGTGACAATCCCCATGCCTCAGCCTCCCAAACGCTGGGATCATAGGCATGCACCACTGTGCCTGGCTTTTAGTTCCTGATTTTTCTTTAGAGAGCTGGGGGTGGAGTGGAGGGTCTGAAGAGAAAGAGAACTCTGACCCAAGCTTTCTGCACACAACCAGTTGAGGCAGGGCCTTTTGCTGGTGCTGTTCTGATCGCTGGGTCTCCGGCAGTCAGCTGATGCTGTGGGGAAAGACCAGCATTGCTGGGAGGTGTCAGGGCTGAGTCTGAACATGGACTCTCCCCTCGGCCTGTTGCCTGCTGTTTTCAGTCCTGTACCAACAGAACTCTCCAACTTTTTTCTCCTTAGTTTATGAAATATACGAGTTTCCATTTTTCCTAAAGCCCAATTCTGCCCTCTCCTTAAAGCCCACTGTGCTCAACCTCAGATTCTCTTCTAGTTATACCACTTGCCTGTCCTGTACTAGCTGGGTAACTTCAGGAAGCTCACTTTTGGTGCCTCAATTCTTTTCATCTTTAAAAGAGATATAACAGTAACACCTATAGTTTGGAGGGCTGAGTTGATATAGATAGGTAAGGTGCTTAGAATGGTGGCTGATACAGCGAACACTCAACCAACAGCAGCTACTCATCTGTTCCGGCTGTCTTCACCAACAGAACCCTTACCCACCCGTCTTGTCTGTTCCCATCACTACAGGGTCCTCCTTAACGCTGAAGCCAGCAGACACATGCCAGTCCACCTTCTCTGGGCCCATCCTCACTTCAGAGTGCCAGCCACACCTGAAATTCCTGGCCGCCTCTGCTGAACTCCATGTCCTCAGTGTTCCTCACTTGGCTCAGCCACTGTGTGGCACTTCTTTGCTCTGCCTGCCTCTTACGTACTAGTGACCCTCGGGGCTCTGTGTGTCCTCCCTTTCCCTCCTCTTCCTGCTGCCCTCAATCTCTAGACATTCACCTTTATATCCGATCCCACGCCTGAACCCCAGGCCTTCTCTTGCATGTCCTGTAGGCACTGGCCCAAAATAGACATGTGTCTTCCCCTAAACGTGTCTCCTTGTATGCTGTTTCCTATCCAGTAAATGACAACCCCAGGTTAGTAACTTGTGACAGAAATTTCTAAGTTACACTTCGTATTTCTCTTTCTCATCCCCTGCCCTTCTTTCTCATACAGCACTCTGAGCTTCAGGTCAGTCTTTCTTCATCTCTTGTTAGTGCATGTTCCTTGGCTGATGTCCTTGCTTCCAGTCTCCCTGATCTAATCTGCTACTACAAGGAAATGGGTGACCTAATATATACATCTGATATCATACTCTTGCTTAACAGGTAACATTTGCCAAACACTACGTACCAGGCACTGGGCAAGGTAGTTTGTATCCTTATTTTAAAAAAAATTTTTTGGTACCTGAAATTGAACTCAGGCCCTTGTGTTTGCAAGGCAACCACTGAGCCAAATCCCTGGCCCCATTAATTTAAATTTTATAACCCCATAAGTACTTTTGCTTCCATCTTACAGATGGGGAAACTGATGTTTGCTTTCAGGATTGAGCCTAAACATTTTGACAAGGTCTAAAAGGCCAAGATTCGGAGCCTGTGTCCTCTCTCACTATTTTCCTCAGCCCCAGGCTCCAGGGCAATAAGCTGGGGCCCATAGGCCAGGCTCTTTTGCCTGCCAGTCCCCGGCATGCAGTTTGCCCTGGCTAGAACTATCCCTTGGCTCTGCCTACATAATGCCTGTTCATCTTGAAGGGCTAGTTCTCAAGTCTTTCTTACTGGGGCAATTCCTTCCATTGCTCCCATTCTTACCATAGCTCTAAAAACAATAAACTCAAATTACCTGTTCTCTTGACTGACTCCTACCAGATAATTGGAACTTGAGGTAAAGTCTGACTCAAATCTGTTCTTAGTCTGAGCACAAAGCCTGGCTATTATTTTCTGAAATAACAGTTAGGAATGCCTAAACTCCAGGGGCCTGGGCACATGTGGCAGCCCCTATTCTGAACACTACCAAGCTGGTTCTCAGGGAAGCAACAGCAGGAAGCAGGATGAGCAAAGCCAGGGAGAGTTTCACCAGAGGTCATCTGTTTTGAATCCTCAGCCCCATGCTACTTACATGTTATACTTTTCCTGAGCTCATTTTCCCATCCTTATTTTTTCTGCCCTGTATCAGGAGTTGTATGATGTATATAAATGTTTTTACCCATTTGATTTTTTCAATCCTCTTGTGAAACTGTGAATGTTCAGTTTAATTTGTGTTAATTGATTCTTACTCTGCAATGCCAGGTGAAGGGAACACAAGAAGACAGGTGGCTGCTCTGGGGAACTGAGAGTCTTGCGGGTAAGGGATTACTGCTTCAATCTTACATGAGAAGAAACAGGCTCAGAAAAGCTAAATCTGAAGTCACATAAATAAGATGCTGCATCTAGAAGGGTCAAAGGTAGGTGCCCACTAGCATCTAGCGGAGGACATTCTGGTGTCAGTAAAGCGGCCAGCTCCACCTAACAGCCGCGTGGGAACAGCCCGTGAGCGGACTGGCTCAGCTGGTCAGTAGATGTGAAGACTCTATGGTCCCCTGTACTGTCCTTTTCTTATAACATGCCTGTCTGTGTTTCAAAGGAGGGAAAGAGGAAGGTCAGAGGCCCTTTCTTCCCACCAAAAGTATCATTCTGGGGGCTGGGAAAATCCATCTCAAGGCTGCCCGCTTCAGGGCTCCATCACTTGTTTTTTTAAATTATTTTTTCTACTAGAAATTGAATCTAGGTCTTTGTACTGAGCTATATTCTCAAGCTTCTCCCTCAAATTCTTTAAATTTATTTTTTGTTTGTTAAGACAGGGCCTCACTATGTATTCAGGCGGGCCTTGAGCTCACTATGCAGCCCAGGCTTGCCTTGGATTTGCAAAGATCCTCAGATTACAGGCATGCAACTCCATGGCTGCTTTTTTTTTTTTTTTTTTTTGAGATATGGTCTTATTAAATTACTAAATTACTCAGGCCAGGCATGCACCATCACACAGGCAGAACCTTTCAAAATCACCCTGTGGACACCAATCCTACCTTTCCCTCAGCCTGGGTGGGTCTCCCTCCACCACACCCTTGCAGATGCTGTTCCTACTCCCCTGCTAGAACAGGACTCTGGCCCACCTCCTCCCCAGCTGTCTCTGGCTGGCTCCTACTCATCCCCATCAACATTCCTCTCCCAGCCTTGCAATCTGCAGCCCCCGCCCCTTCTCCCTCACCAGCCTCTGTACCATCTCTTGCCTCTTTCAGGACTTGTACACCCCCTTTCTTTTTCCGGTACTGGGGATTGAACTCAGGACCTTGCACTTGCAAGGCAAACGCAGCACCACTGAGCTAAATCCCAGGTCCCTTTGCTTCTTGATATTCCCACAGCCCTCCAGTTACCCATCACCTGTTTTTTTTTTAATTTAAATTTTTATTTTTTCAGTACTGGGTATTAAACTCAGGACCTTGCACTTGCAAGGCAGGCACGGTGCCAATGAGCTAAATCCCTGGCCCCCATCACTTGTTTTTTAAAAAAGTTTTATCTTAGGAAAGTCACTATAACTGAGCCTCACAGTTTCCTTATGTGCAAAATAAATGAAACCTCCTTGAAAGATTTCTGATGACTATATGAACAGTGTGAAGTGCTTGGCACATAGTAAATGCTCAATTGCTTCTTGGCCTTTTGGCTAAGTGTAGCACAGTAAATGCTCAATCAATGCTAGTACTCTTCTCTCTCCCTCTGTCTATACTTTTACTTTCTTTCCTTTTTTTATTTTTTTTTTTGGTGGGTGGTACTGGGGACTGAACCCAGGATTCTATCAGTGAACTATAGCCTTATCCACTTGGTTTTTTTTTTTTTTTTTTTTTTTTAACAGGGTCTTATCTTGCTATTTCATGTAGCCTAGGCTGGCCTTGAACTCGTTGCAAACCTCCTGCCTCAGCCTCTCAAATTCTGGGATTACAAGTGTGTATCACCAAGCCTAGTCCCACCAACTTTTGTTTTTTGAGACAGGGTCTTGCTAAATCACCCAGGTTGGCCTCAAATCTGCAATCCTTCTGGCTTCAGTTTCCTGAGTAGCTAGGATGACAAACATATGCCACTGTACCTGGCTTTTGTTGTTGGCAGCTGGGGGTCAAACCCAAGGCCTTGAATATGCTTGACAAGTTCTCTACCACAGACCTTTACCCTCAGACCTACCTTCTACTTTTTTTTTTTTTGTACCAGGGATCAAACTGAGGACTTTGTGCTCCCAAGGCAGGCGTGGTGCCACTGAGCTAAATCCCTGGCTCCACTTCTATTTTAACTGAAATCCCAAGCTTTACTTTCAGGTGGCAAACTACCCCCCTAGATCAGTGATGGTGAACCTTTTAGAGACAAATGCCCAAAATACAATCTAAAACCCACTTATGAATTGTCAAGCGCCAACACTGCAATTACACCTGAATATTGAGGTTTTCCTTTAGATGAATTGTACTAATCAGACAGGCAAGCTTATGAATGTGCTACCAGCACCCAAACCCAGTTCAAAGTGTCCTTCAGAGGGCTGGTGTCAACTAGACCTGTAACACCTGTCATGGACATGAGTCTTCTGAAGGGTCTCCCACATCCCATGTCCCCCATGATTCCATGAGGGTGGCTGCTGCTCATGTACTTGGCTAGCCTAACACCAACATCCAAAATGCCTGGAGATGACTTAAAGGGCCACTTGGGGGAAACATCAAAGGATACAGGAGGCTCTGCCTTGAGGACCCCTCTGATCCAGCTGTCACCGGTTTCTGCCTGTTGTTGGGGGCCTCCGTGGGTGGCTTTTTATGGTTTTCCCTTTTTCCTTGGGAGCCCAAGTGTTGAGAAAATTTCTCGTTGCTATCAGCAGAGTCACTGAGCTCACTGGAGGCAGCTTCATTGTCAGCCTGGGCCTCTGGCATTGGCTCCTTGTCTTGATCTGCTTGTGGTGAGCTCCACCCAATAAAAGTATTGCCCCGTTGGATTCCTGAGTGTGGCAGGTGTGTGCTAGGCCAAGGGCTGGTTGAGGCAGGCTGGCCAATCGTGACCTTAGAGGCTCCACCCTCATAAGCAACAAGGCTAGGAGCACCCTGCCTAGGTAGGAGGGTGTTGACAGCCATTTTTGGGCTGGACAGAAAGCTACTTCTAGCCCTGAGTTCCTTTCTGGGTGAGGGTCCTGGAGAAACAGAGGAGGGATCTTCTCTCTGCTCGTCAGGTTGAGGGCTGATGACCTCACTTGTGTCTGACATGAAACTGGACCAAGGGCTAGTTTTGTCTGTCACAGTGGTGATCTCATTTAGGGTCCTGGGCTCAATGATGTCTTCTTCATAGTCCTCATCACTGTATGCAGGGCCTGCCTCAGTTTCCTCACTGCTCTGCATTCTTCTAACAGGTACTGTGTGTCCCAGGAACCCATTAGAAGTCTCTGCAGAAGCAGGAGGAGGTGGGGAATTTGTGCCCTCCTCTGCAGCCCTTGCCAGTGGCTCATGTGGAGTCGTGTTTCGTTCTTGCGTGGCCTCTGTATCCTGAGCATCAGGGAGGGTGGTGACCTCTTGGCTTCTACTCCTTGCCTGGTGAGAAGTCAAAGCTGCTTGAGAATTCCTGGTGATTGTCTGCAGATCTGAACAGCAACAGATATCATTCTTACTAAAAGGCAGGGCCACAGACCACTCACGGTTTCCACACTGGCCTCTCTAGCAACCAGACTTTGAACAAACAGTTATTTCACCAGAGTCAGTGAAACTATATTCAAAGAAGTACAATTTCTATTACTTTATTCTAACAGCAGAGGGCCAAAATCTAATCTATTAATAGTTGTGGATACATCTGTGGACATGCTCTCAGAGACTATATGCTCATGCTCAGGAATTCTTGGGAGCTGAGAGTCCTGGTGGGCATGTTCACGCTTCCATTTACTTCAGTAATTACCTATATTAAAAACCAAAACAAGAACCCACTTATTTACCTATTTGGTGACAGTTATTAAAATTATCTATTTTATTTGGAAAGTAAAATAATAAAAGAACTACCACCCACAAGTGAAAAGGAGGCAGTGAGGTGTGTTGGAAAGAGCACAGATGTTGGTGCTGGCCGGTCTTAGTTTCAAACCTCTACTGTCACTTGTGAATTTCATAATCATGACTTACCTGCCCTCTCTAAGCCTTTTCTGGGGGCAGTACTGGGGAATTAACCTAGAATCTGCTAGGCAAATGCTCTACCACTGACCTATACTCCCAGCCCTTTTAAAAATTTTGAGACAGGATCTCACTGCATTGCCCAGGTTGGCCTTTAACTTGCAGTCCCCTTGCCTCAGATCCCGACTAGTTGGGATTATGGAGTCTAGCATTAACTTTTTTTTTTCTTTTTGGTACTGGGGATCAAACTCAGGACCTTGCACTTGCGAGGTGGGTGACAGAACCACTGAACTAAATCCCCGGCCCTAACATTAACTTTTTAATCTATCCATTTGGAAGAAAGTGTTTAAATGGGAAGGGGAATGAGGGACGAGGGAGGGAAACTGAAGGAAGGGACAAGAAAAAAAGTGAAAATAGAAGGAAAAGATGAAAACAAAGCTTTTATACACAGGGAGGGGAGGAGGCTTAAGGAGGGAGGAATGGGATAAAATAAAATTTATTTTTAAAAAATCACCCATTTTATAGGTTACAGTACAGAATATGTCAGACAAATGGGAATAATTATGTGATGTACAGGCACTTAATAAACACAGGTTACTAGCCATCTGAAATAATTTTCTGGATGAAATTGGACTGAATAAATTAGCAAGCAGTCTGGACATGGCACATGCCTCTAGTCCTAACTACTCAAGAAGCTGAGGCAGGAGGATTACTTGAGCCAAGGAGTTTCAGTGAGATCTTGTCTCTTTTAAAAAAATTAGTATATGTTTGCGATGTGTAATATTTATACTCATCTTGGTGAATTAATACATCTACACACCACACCTTGATCCCTGCACTTCCCCTTCCTCTCATCCTGCCCTTCTCTAGCCTCCTTTCCCCAGACATCCTTATCTCCACAAGTTTCAGTTTCTTACCATCTCTCTTTTAGTTTGCTCTTTATATTCTGGGATTCTCATATAAGGGAAACCATGAGATATTTATCCTTCTATGTCTGATTTATTTCATGTTTAATACATCTAGCAAATGACATTATGTTTGCATGGCTATGTAGGTCAGGCTATCTTCAGACTTAGTAATAGCTGAGGGTGGTCCTGAACTTGTGCTCTTCCCTCCTCAGCCTCCCGCGTGTTGGCATTATGGGTGTGCACCTAGTTGTTTACATGATTCTTTGAGAGGATAAAATTTCAGTGGAGGTAAATCTGACTCACAGGGACAAGGGGCCATCCCCCTTTCACCTAATAAGAGGGCTCAGCCTACAGGATGTAGTAGCTATTTAATAAATTGATGATGTTTAAGGGTCAAAGGAGAGTGAGTAGACATATGAAAATAGAATATTTCTACTAAAAACAAGAACAGGCACCAGGAAGCAAGCTTAGAGGATCCTGGTCCTCTGGCCTGCACTACCTATCATTTTTGTCTTGGGACAGTACTTGCTTTGTTTTGTTTTTGAGACAGGGTCTTGTTATGTAGCCCATGCTGGACTTAAACACATGATCTTTCTGCTTTAACCTTCTGAGTTATGGGATCACAGGTGAGCGCTACCATGCCTAGTTTAGTCTTTTTTTTGGTACCAGGGAACGAACTCAGGACCCAGCATCTGCAAGGTAGGTGTGGTGCCACTGAGCTAAATCCCCAGCCCTAGTATTCTTGCTTTTTATAAACCATCCCATCCTTTAGGGCCCTGTTCCATGGATGAACCTTTCAATGATAACAAACAGCCCACTGTGGCATATGTGCCATACGTTTGTGACCACTGCCCTATTCTACTGCATCTTCCTTAAGAAGCCTCCCCATGGGCCGGGGATTTAGCTCAGTGGTTCTGCTGCCTGCCTCTCAAGCACAAGGTCCCAGGTTCAATCCCTGGTACAAAAAAAAAAAAAAAAAAAAAAAAAAAAAAAAAAAGTATATGATTCATGATGGGAGAGGTGGGTTATTATTTTTCTTTTAACCTGGTTCCCTGTTTTAAACATCTCAGATTCATCCTGTCCTTGTGAAAGTCAGCTCTCCTTCTGTCATCCCTTTGCTGAGAACTCCCGCTGTTGCCTCATCTTCCTTCTGTGGTGCTGGGGACTGAACTCAGGGTCTTGCATGTGTGTACACCCTCAGCTCCCCCATTATCTTTTGGATAAGCATTTAACTTCCAAATTGGGCTTTGAGGGCTTCAAACATTCAATTCTCTTCTTTCACTTTTGTTTCTTGAGACAGGGTCTCACTATGTAGTTGAGACTGACCTGGAACTCACTATGTAGCCCAGGCTGGTCTCGAACTCACAGCAATGCTCCTGCCCTCAGCCTCCCGAGTGCTGGGATCAAAGGTGTGCACCACCACATCTGGCTACTCACTTCTTTTAATATATCCCTTAAAAGTGGTTCCCTTGTTTGCTCCCATCTCTTTCTCAAACAAGCCTTCCTTGTGTTCTGCTCTCACTCTTTCTCTTTTTTTTTGTACCGGGGATCGAATTCAGGTGCTTGTGCTTGCAAGGCAGGCGGCGGAACAGGTGAGCTAAATCCCCGGCCCTCTCACTCCTTCTTTCTTTGCCTATCATGGTATTTCCCCCGACTCCTACTTTTAAACAGAAAGTTGAATTCACTCATCCCAGGGTAGAATCTATACATTTTCTTTGAGCAAAAAATGATGCCAAGTTCTTCCCAGGTCTTATCCCTGGATCCTGACTAGTATAATGGTGTAAGACCCAAGAATTTGCATTTCAAAATAAGTGCCCCGGCAATTTCTATGTTCAGGCAAGTTTGGGAAACAGTTGCTCTGGAGGTCTCAGTCTTGGCCACACACTAGAACTATTGGAGAAGGTGTGTCAATAAACAACACTGATATGTGGGTTCCAGCCTGAAGGATTCTGTTGCCCTGTGGTGCACATGGATTTTTATAACCCCTTGAAAATTCCAAAATGAAGCCAAAGTGAGAATCACTTTTCTGAGGGTTTTTTCCAAAAGGTGGACTATGAATTCCCAACATCCAGAACAAGCTAAGGTGCTTATTAAGAACAGAGACTTCTGGGTTTTGAGACTTAGAATTTAAGCACGTTTGTCATTGATTTATTTTCTGAAAAAATGAGTGGCACAGGTTCAAGAACTGCTAGAAACAACTCATGTAATCCACTCCTCTCTCTTTTCTTTTTTTTGGTTAGGGAAACAAAAGCTCAAGAAGGGAAAAAAGATGCTCAGGGTCAATCAGCAAGTCTGTACAGAAACCTACCAAGGACCTGTGTCTACTGCCTTTAGTTCGATGCTCTTTCCACTGCTGGTGCTCCTATACCATACCAGTATGTCTCTCTTTTTAAAATTTTAAACATTATTATTTTTTCAATACGTCTCTTTTTTAAAAAGAGACACTGGGTGTGGTGGTGCACGCCTGTAATTCCAGCACTGGGGAGGCTGAGGCAGGAGGATCTCTGTGAATTTGAGACCAGCCGGGATACACAGTGAGTTGAAGGCCAGCATGAAGTACATAGAAAGGGCCAGGGATATAGACAGTGATACTGTGCCCGCCCCGAGCAAGGCTGAAGTTCTGAGTTGAATTCCTGGTACTGGGGGAAAAAGCCCAACAATAACAACAAAATATATAGCGAAACCCTGTCTCGAAAAACCAAAAAGATGAGAAAACTGTTGTTGTATTTGTCACAGAGGCTTGTCTAAAGCAGACATAGTGAGCCATACCTGAGATTAAGGAGCTGACTTGTAACACCAGGTTACTGGATTTCTCCAGAATGCACTGGCTCTGAGGGTCTAGGCTGCTGACTCCTGGCCCAGGCTGGTCCCTGTGGTTCTCCGGGCGCTGTATGACGGCAGTATTACTGTGAGGGCTGAGAGGCAGGAGAGGCTTGGTGAGCTTCTGGCTAAAATACAGCTGGATCTCATCTAACTCACTCAGATTCTTCCTGGAAGAAAAAGGTGGGGTGGGGGAGATAACAAAAGGGCCATTTATGGAGAGCACAAGATTTCCCAAGAGTCTTAAAACCTCTCACTTAGTCTGTTTTGTTCTATTGTCTTTTAAAAAATGTTATCGTTACATTTTAGGTGTAGCTAGTGATAACATCCATCATGGGGAATTCGTACCCGTACCTGATACATCTTGCTTCTTTTCTCCCCATTCTCTTTCCCTCCCTCCAACCTCTCTTCACGTCCTTAGTTACAAAAACTTTGTTTCCATTTTTTCTTCTATTCTCTTTTTTTACCTTGCTCTTCTTTCCTTTCCCCCTTTCCCCGCCCTTGGTTCCTTTCTCATATGAACATTTTCTTCCCATCTCCCAATATCTATTATACATTTTGGTCCTTATTTGCACGGTCAGTTTCTCACACCAGAGAAGCAATGTGGTATTTAAACGTGTGCCCAGTTGATTTCACCAAGAGTATGGTCTCAAGGTGCATCCATTAAGCTAGAAATGTCTCAAGCTGATTCATTTGGTCTATTCATAGAGCTCTTTCTCTCCAACCTATCATTCATCCTTTACCCCTCTGACTACAATTCTGTGTCAACAGCAACTCTGTCCCCTCCCTGACTAATGTGGTTCCTCTTCTACTGTCTAGCAAAAAAAGTAACCTTTTTTTTTTTGGTACCAGGGATCGAACTTGGGACCTTGTGCTTGCAAGGCAGGTGGTGGAACCAGTGGACCAAGCAACCTTTTTATAAGGAATCATTCTTTTTTTTTGGGGGGCGGGGTTTGAGACAGGGTTTCACTATGTAGTTGAGATTGACCTGAAACTCACTATGTAGCCCAAGCTGGTCTCGAACTCATAGCGATCCTCCTGCCTCAGCCTCCCAAGTGCTGGGATTATAGGCATGCACCACCATGCCCAGCTATAAGGAATCATTCTTGACTACCCTTCAAGTCTTCACTTCTTACTCTCACAGAATAAAAAGCCTAATCCAAAGTAACATTGTCCTTTGCTACCTCACAACCATTCCCCAATCTTCTAGCAAGTGACCTCTTCTAACCAGCCCTTCTGATCCTCTACATTGGTTAAGGGAGCCAGGTGTGGTGGCGCACGCCTACAATCCCAGCACTTGGGAGGCTAAGGCAGGAAGACTGCCCCGAATTTGAGGCCAGCCTGGGCTACATAGTGAGTTCAAGGCCAGCCTGAACTACATAGTGACACCTCGTCTGAAGAAGAAAAAAAAATTGGTCAGGGATTCCATCTGTGGCTCCATAGTTCTTTCTGTACTCTTCAACAACTGCATAACTTATTTCATAAGTATTTCCCCTCATTTACTATGAGATCTATGATGATTCCTTTATAATTCTTGTATCTAGCACAATGCTTAGCACAAAATAAATGAATGCTGAATGCATAAGTGGACATGGATAAGGACCTTTATTTTTAAATTAAAAAAACATTTTTTTTTGGTACAGGGATCAAATCTGGGATCTTGCGCTTGCGAGGCAGGCGGTGGAACCTCTTGAGCTAAATCCCTGGCCCTAAGAAAAATTTTTTGAGTAAGTACCTTTAAAGATCTTCAATGGAGTTACACACATTCTCACCACTCTCCAATGAGAAATCACACTAACTTTCAGCTGTATAGAATTGTTTTCAAATATATTTTCCTGTTTAATTCTCAGCTAACCATTTGAGATCAGTAATTAAGTTGTTTGTGTAGGATAAGGACAATATATTCAGAAATTGCAGCTCCAAGTCTTATGCTTTTTCCCAAGATAAAAGATGGGCTCTGCCCCAGGTGGGGCTGCTCTTTCCTCACACTTCTGCCGATACTGAATCCTGAGTTCAAACTACTCTCGGTTGTATCCCTTTTCCATTCATGCTTGTGCTCATTTTTCTCCTTTTCAAAGATCGTGACCTCAGATCACTGGGTCACCACTCTTTTAAAATTATTCCTTCATAGCATTTCTACCCCCTCTTGTCTTAGATTTCCCTCAGATTTTTCATTATTTCTAATTTGATTTCCCTAACTGTCCATAAGCATCTGGAGATAGAAGATAATACTGTAAACATCTCTATTTTTCTAGTACATTCAATGTGTCTGGTACAATTAGCACAATATAGACACTAAATGCCTGTGAACAAGAAGTCTTTCTGTCCCTTTGTTAGTAATGGTTTGTATGTCTTAGAATTGAATTCAAATAAAAGCAGAGAATAGAGTTCATTTATATTCTATCAAGTAACAGTAGTGTCTATCAAATCACTTAAGTGTCTATATTCTGGTGTATGCCACATGGAAAAATAGCTCAGCAGGACCATGCAAGCAAATACATACTTGATGAAGCTTTACAAAATATGCAGACCCACTAATCTTGTCAGAAGTTCTAGGTGTACAACCACAGGCCATCAACTGGCTCACACTAAATTGCAATTATCTCTACAGTAAAACAAGTTTATTAATACTTGCCCTACAGGTCTCACAGGATTTCTGTGATACAAATGAAGCAAGTTTTAGGGCTGCATCAAGGAAATAATGCAGGTTGTTTCATTTCCATTTGGTAGAGAATCCCTCCAGGGCTCTCAAAGTCTAATTCTAGAACTAGGGGCATCAGCATTACATGAGAACGTGTTAGAAATGCAAATTCCCAGACCTCATCCTACACCTACTAAGTCTGGAAATGTGTGGGTAAATTCTAGCAATCAGTGTTCTAAATAGGCCTTCCATGTGATTTTGATATAATGAATTCTGAGAACTACAGCTCTAGGACCCCCCCAGATGACATTAAGTGATGTCTGGACACTTTTGGTTGTCACAACTGGGGAAAGGTGTTACTGGTATAGCGTACAGTCACCAGGGATGCTAAGCATCTTACAGTGCAACAGCCTTCACCACAAAACGTCAAGGGTGTTGAGGTTGAGAGAAACTGCACTAGGGTGCAAGAGTTATTGCTCCACGGAGGGTTCCAAATATATAAATGATCTAATAAAGTACAGCCAAAATATCAATGGTTTTACTTTTCCAAGCTAAGGTGAGAATTAGAACATGCTATTTCTTTTTTGTTTGTTTTTGGTACCAGGGATTGAAGTCAGGACCTTGGGCTTGTGAGACAGGCGTGGCGCCACTCAGCTAAATCCCTGGCCCAGAACATGTTATTTCTTTGCAATATAAACTTAGGCACTTTCTCATAGCCCTATTACTTAATCCTTTTAAGCATGTCTCAATCAGAAATGATTTTGTGGATGTTTTCTTTCCTAAATTTGCATTATGAGAGCAAACACTTTCTTCCATTCCTCCCCATCACTTTTCACTTGAGAATAATTGTTCTAAAAATCAAATTCTTAGCTTTATATTTAAGGCCCTTCATGATCTGACCCCTTTGGAATTTGCCCTACTCCCTGTATTACTGGCTTTTTCCGAACTGCACTGGTATTTGCCCAAACTTGACTTGTTTCATGTCTCTAACTCTTCGGAGTACTCTTTCTGCAGAGAATATCCTTCACATTTACCTGTTCCTTCAAAGACCAGTTCAAATGTGACTTCTTTAAATTTTTCCATGTCTAACCCATGAATGTAACTCTGTCTACTCTTGTCCAGGAAACCCGTAGTTCTTACTACCCTGCATTGTAATTATCTGACGGCACAGTTCTCTCTTCCACCAGGAATGGCAGAGCCAGGACTGGAGGTCAAGTCTATCTAACTCTGAAACCAGGTCCTTTCTACTGCACCACACTTCTCCCTAGGTAACCTTGAGGCTGATCTTGCTCATCTATGGCAGCACTTTCACTTCTCACAGTGGTTCTCTGGCTCAATGCTAACTAAACCAAGAAAGGGACGGGAGATGTTAACAGGACAGATGAGGGTGCGGAAAAAGCCACTGGTTATAAAGAAAAAGACAGTGGGCAGGATGAGGCTTTGGAATTTGAAAAAGGATAAATAGATGGTTCTTAAATTTTAGTTTGTTTTGTTTTATTTTTGGTACCAGGGATCAAACTTGGGCCCTTGTGCTTGTAAGGCAGGCGGCAGAACCACTGAGCCAAATCCCTGGCGGTTAAATTTTAGTGAACAGCCTGAAGTTTCTGTATTTATAAGCAGGTCGGCAACAGAACTCCCCCAGGAAAGAGTGGATAGCTCTAAACTGAGAGGGATTCATCAGTTTAGAGCTGAAGACTCCAAGGTCCAAGCCAACACTGACATGCACCAGTGCCTTCTATAAACCCCTGAGGAGGAGATGATGGAGATGCAGGTTTATACACTGCCCATTCTCCCTGTGCTCCCCGCACTGGCTTGCCGTGTCTTTTCTTAGCAGAAGGCCGCACCTTAGAGAAGTCAGAATGGAGGTGTTGGAAGACAAAGGTGACGTGGTGAGTTTGCTATCACTTGCTGAGACTGCCTCTCCCTGCTGCAGGGATTCATGAAATCGGCGGATGTTCTGCACATGCTCTTCATGACGTGATGCTGGGCTTCTTGTGGTACTGCTTCTGTTATAATAAAACGGGAGAAAATAAATTCCTGGACACTGGGAAAACTGCTCCTAAAATGGCACTCCAAACCTATTCCCACTACCACAGTTCTGGCTTCACCAACTCTTGCTTGGATTACAAATGTCTCCCAAATAATCCTGCTTTCATCTCACCCACTCCACTTCCTTCCATTCTCCACGTTATAATCTGAATGATTTCTCTAGAACATAGACTAAAACAACAATAATCATATGGAGCCCTTATTCTGATGCCAAGCCTTTTACAAGCTTTCAAAGTGTATTAATCTATTTCATTACCCTCATTCCTTTCTAGCTTTGGATTTTCCTATGGAACAAATCTCTAATTTCTGAGCATGGTATTCAAGAATATGACCTTAGCAATCTTTTTTAAAATAAAAACTTTATTGATTTAATTCTCATATTGTACAATTAACCTATTAAAAATATACAATTCAGCCAGGCGAGATGATACATGCCTGTAATCCCAGAATTATGGGACGTGTAGGCAGGAGGATTACAAGTTCCAGTCCAGCCTAGGCAACTTCTCACTGTGGTTTTGATTTGTATCTTTTAACAGGCTCATTGGCTGTTTGTATATCTTTACAGAAATAATGATTCAGATTCTTCGCCCATTTTAAAATTGGGTTATTTGATTTTAGTTTTTTATTTGGCAATTCTCATGATCCTCCTGCCTCAGCCTCCTGAGTGCTGGATTACAGGTATGCTGTGTCATCATTAATTTTTAATAGTGTTAAAGAGTTCCAAAGTAAAAATATTTCAGATCCACTGCTTTACAAAGATGTAACTGATATATAATTAACTTAAATATACTTAAAGTATACAATTTGATGTATTTTAATAACTGTATAGATCCAAGGAAACCATCATACCTCAAGATAATGAATATATCCGTCATCTCCAAAACTTTTTCCTTGTCTTTTGTAATTCCTGCCTCCTTTGCTCTTTTAATCCTGTCTTGCTCTTAGGCAATCCTGGGCTGTTTTCTGACATTACAGATTAGTATATATTTTCTAGAATTTTATAAAACGGAATTATACACATGTACTCTTTTATTCTAGCTTCTTTCTGTTCCTTAGTATAATTATTGTGAACTTTATTTTGTTGTATATCAAGATTGAGTTTTAAAAAATTCTTTTGTGACTGGGCCTGGTGATTCATGTTTATAATTCTAGCACTTGGGAGACTGAGGCAGGATTGCCTCGAGTTTGAGGCCAACCTGTGCTACATAGTTAGTTTAAGGTCACCCTGACCTATATAGCGAGACCCCGTCTCAAAAAAAAAAATTTTTTTTTTGAGTAGTATTCCATTGTACAGACACATCACAATTTGGTTATCTGAAGGCCGGGCGAGGTGGTCTACGCCTGTAATACAGCACTTGGGAGACTGGGGCAGGAGGATCACTGGGAGTTTGAGACCAGCCTGAGCTACACAGTAAGTTCCAGATCAGTCTCAGCTACATAGTCAGACCCTGGCTCAAAAACAAACAAAAACAAAAACCAAAACCCAAAAAACAACAACAACAAAAACAATTTGGTTATCTGTTCATCTATTTGCTGAGGGACTCCTGAGTTGTTCAATTTTTGGTTATCAGAAATAAAGCACAAAGACAAAAAAGTTTGGAAACTTTTGTTTCAAGCATTTCACATGTATTATCAGTACTTAAACCTTTCAAGACTAACACTATGTGAAAACCTAAGTAGTTGATGCACATAACATATAAAAATACTGGTTATTTCTAGTCTCACTCTTCATAACAACCTTCAAGGTAATTTATTATTTTCATTCAACAATTATGAAAGCTAGGGGCCGGAGATTTAACTCAGGAGTTCTATCACCTGTCTTGCAAGCTCAAGGTCCTAAGTTCTATCCCAGTACCAAAAAAAAAAAAAAAAAAAAAACCCTAAAGCTCAGAGAATTATAGTAATTAGCATAAAGTCACACATATCGAGCAAGTGGTAAAGTCAATCTAAGATTCCAAATCTTTCTGACCCTGAAGTATACCCTTCACTACCCTGAACAAGGTGTGATCAGAAACAGCTAAATTTGTTAGGTGAGGTGGTTAGAAAGGGAATTATAGCCTACTCTTGGGTGGATGGCTAAATTAGAATAGGACATTTTTATTTGGCCCTTCTGAAGTGCTAACAGTGACATTTTTATGTGAACAAAAAGCAAAGCCCTAAACTTTTAGTTTTTAAAATTATCAAGCAGGGCACAAGCGATAACCCACATATGTCACTGACGAGATGATGGTCAAAGCAACACTTTTAACATAGATTACAAAAGAATTATCTAAACCCTAGAATGGGAATCAAGAGACATACAGCCTCCTCTGTAGAGAAGCCAGAAGATCTCTTCATATGGTGACCCAGTAGAAAACTGCATAGTATGAAACAGGCCTTATTGTGCATAATCAGTACGTTAGTGTGTAGTGGAGAAAAGAGTCTACTCAATTAACTGCTGTTGTAGCAGTGGCTGCTGTGGGAGAATACTCCTTACCTTGCCCCTGAGCATGGGAGAAAGACATGGGAAAGATCCCAAGGGGAGGGAACTAGGGCCTGGAAGGGAGCAGGTTAGAAAAAGGCAATCTTACTTTTAGACCCTGTCCTCTGACAAGAGGCAACATGTGCTAGCCCTGAGAGCCACCTGCATGTCCATGGTTGGATTCATGAAAGAGATGGTCCAATGACTTTTTGCCAAGCAATCTGGCACATAGTTTTAGGAGAGGAAAGATGATATATTTCTCAAAAAAGATTAAAGGCTTCTGAGGATAAGAGAATAGCGGCCCTGGCACTGAAGTAATCCTTTTGATAGCAGTAAAAATTCTAATTTCTATTTTATAAAATTTTGTTTCCATAGATCTTAAAATGAGAGATCAACAAAGCTCCTCCCATCTGCAGTTTCGTCCTCTAACAAAGGAAAGAGAAATAATAAGCCAGTTTACAGACTTCTATTCTTTGACCCTATTTCTTCCTATTGAGAAATTACTCACCTTCCCGGAGAGGAGAAATCAAGGTCCTTCGAAGAGGTGTGAGTAAGCTGGTCTCGAGTGTGTCTTGCAATACAGCTGGGGAACCCAGCATAGATATCAGAGGTCGGGAAGGAAAACGGACTGTACGTTGGGATCTGTAGAAGCAACAAAATATGGTACACAAATTACCATAAACCCTTGTGGAACCAAATATATAAATAAATTTGTAAAATTTACTTAGTATATTACTGAGTACTTTGTGTACTCAGTGTATACATGTGTGTTTTTGTTTTGCTTTGATTTTTGACATGGGTTCACTATGTTCAGACTGACTTTGAACTAGCGAGCCTAGGCTGGCCTTGAACTTGAAGCGATCTTTCTGCCTCAGCCTTCTGAGTGCTGGGATTACAGGTGTGTGGCATCACACCTGGCTGACTTTCTGTGTGTTGAATGCTGTGCTAAGCAATTTACATATTTTCATTCAAACTTTTATCTTATAAACTCAGTAGTGCTGTTGTCTTTATTTTACAGATTATATTGATTCCTTTTTAGTTGCTTTGTCTATGTTTATGATTTTGTTCCTCCAGCTAGTTTGTAAATTGGATGAAGATCATCTTGTTTAGTTTACATGTGAGGATAATGTGGCTATGATACTTCTAGTCTCATGACTACTAGAGTTGAGCTAAAGAAAAGACCTTGCTATGTATAGGTTCGATAAACTCTTGGTCATTTTCTTTTTTCGGTACTGGGACTGAACTCTGGAACCACTGAGCTAAATCCCCAGCCCTTTTGGTCATTTTCTTATGCATTCATCCATTCAGTATTGATATCCACTTTGTGTCAGATGCTGGATCCATGAACATGAGAAAGAGGTAAATAAAGCAAAGCTTTTGCCTCAACAGACTTGGGATAATGTGGAAAATTATTTTCTTTTATAGTTGAATTCTTTGCAAGAGTTGTCTTCATTCACCATTGCTAATTCCTTTCTTCCCAGTCTTTTTTTTTTAATGAAAGATCAATGATTTTACATTGACAGAATTAAAAAAAAATGGACACAGCTTCAGATTCTATGCTGCAACTAACCTTGTTTTATTTAAAAATGATATATAATACATGTATTATTAAATTTACCCCTAAAAATGTTTTGTCATGGTTTTCAGGATATTTACTGTTCTGCAACTACTATTATCTAATTCCAGAACTTTTTCATCAGCCCCAAAAGGAAAGAGGTTGTTAGGACATGCCAATCCATATATAATGTGTTTGGTAAGATCAAAAGTACCTCAAAATGTAAAGAATCTTTGTGTAGGTTTTTGCTCAGTAGAACCCTTATAAGTTAGGTGTGATCAGCACATACCAGCAATGCCTGGGTCTCCATCCCACGTCTTGCTTGCCTCTCTTCTTTGAAGTGTATCAAACTCTCTAGAGGGGAGATGGCGACTTTTATTTGCCCTTGGCACTCTCCACTGAAGTCTGTAATGTTGTACCAGCCACAGATAAACTGGAAGCCAGAGAGCAGCGGGGAGAGATCTACTGAGGCAAAACCAATCACTCTCTCCTCATCTGTGGGGAAAGAGAAGAGCTGGGCAGTGTGGCTGGACATATCCTGCACAGAGAAGCTGATTCAATTGAATGGGGCAGTTCAGTGACTCCAAAGCCAACACAGAAGATAATAATGAGTTTGAGGGAACCGATACCAGTTCCTGCTAGAGTTCCTTTTCTTTCTTTTTTTAGAGTTCCCTTTCTGTATGGCAGGGAAGAGCTGGCAGGGTTGAACTCTGTCCTTTTGATACAGGCACCTAGTAAACATCCCTGAACTTAATAAATACTTGTCCTTATCCTTAGGTTCATGCCTCAGTTTTCCTCAGGGTAATAAATTCTTATTTTGTTGTTGTTATTTTGGTACCAGGGATCAAACTCAGGACCTTGTGCTTGTGAGACAGGCTCGGTGCCACTGAACTAACTCCTCGGCCCTTGGGCAATAAATCTTAAAATTATGGAATCAAGATACATTTGCGTTTTCTTATTTATACTTGTCTGTTACTGACAAATTGTCTAAGACATTCATGTACATTACATTTAATTAAGAACTAACACAAATTACAGAAGAGAACAATCCCCTGGAAAACCAGGACAGGGTACTGCTATATTTACGGTTCCCTCTAACTACAGAATGTCCTACCCCTTCATAACCCAGCTAAGGTATGGTCCAGGAAGTGTTCTTTGACATCCTAGTCTAGGTTAGGTATCACTTACCACAATGCCCTACACTGCCAATCTTATTAAAATGTAAGTATTTTTTATCCCCCACTGGCTATAAGCTCTGTGAGGAGAGAACCATGCCTGTTTCTTACTACTTTTGTACCCCTTGCACTTAGTGACTGGCAGAGAAGGTGCTCTCTGTAATATGTGTGCTGAATCTGTGTGGAAAGGGCAGAGTTAAGAGGAAGAAGATATCTACATACTGAGAGACAGAATTAGATGAATACGGGTAGCTTGGCCCAGGCATTTTCCTCACTTGCATTTAAAATAGCATCTTACAGGACACCTTAGGGGTCTTGAATATAGGGAATGTATTTTATTTTCTATACCCAAAAAGCCCTAGCAAAACAGGCAAAAATAATAAAAATAGCTTTATTTATTAAGCAACAATTAGGTGTCAAAGTGTGAAGTACTTTACATATATTATTTCTGATCCTCATGAAACCCTAGAAACTCAAGTACTATTATTATCTTAGTTTTATAAACAAGAAAAGAAAGGTAAGAAGAAAGAGGTAAAGTGATCTACTTTATACCACACAGTAAATTGCAGAGCAAAAAGATTTGACTCAGATCTGCCTAGGACCATTCTTTTTTTTTTTTCCCCTGCAATTGACCTAAGATAAACTCTGGTCTGCTTGACAATTTCTATAGTAATTTAGATAAAAGAAAGCAAGAGAGGAAAGAGAACTCTTTTGTGAATCTTAGCTAGCTAGATATAGCAGCAATTCCTTGTGTTGATAGAGAGAAAACTGATTTCTGGTCAGTTCCTCTGCACTGATCAGGATGGTAGAGGGCAAAGCAGGAAGGAACTAAACATCAAAGTAAGGTTCACACCAGTTTTCACAAAGTGGCACAGGCAGAAATTAAGTCAACTTCCTTTATACCCTGATTATTCTCTGGTGTTTTTTGGGCTTTGTGGTCAATAATGAAACAGCACTGGAAACAAAATACCACTCTGTAGGTGACTTAAAATCACCAAAGATTTCAAAACCAACCCCAGCAGGAAAAACAAAGGAGCTAAACTTACAGGAGGATTAATGAGGTGAAATTTATCAAACTATAAACATGTAGATGTCCCCACCACCTCCTCTTTCTGGATTATCTGATCTTACAAGCATAGTGAGGCACAACCAGTGAAGGCTGAACTGGGCTAATCCTAGCTCCATCAATTAATAGGTCTACAACCTTAATCAGGCCACTAAACTTCCTTATGCCTTAGCACCTGCGAAATCAGACACTGTATTTTTTTAAAATTACATGATTAGAGATGTTTATCAAGCTCTTAGAACAATGACATTCACTAATAAAAAGAATAAAAATTGACAGTATTTATTGTCAGGCTTTTATTTACTTTTTTAGAACCCTATGAAATAGGTACTATTATTATTCCTACTTTATGGCTATGGAAACTGAAGTACAGAGGAGTTAAGTCATTTGCCCAAGGTTACCTCACACTACAGTAAGGGGCAGAAATGGCATATGAATCTAAAGAATTTGGCTTCAGAGGCAATATTCTTAACACTGATGGGTCATGCCTATTAACATGTTCCTGCCAGCTCGAACCACCAGTGGTACATGCATGGCTGTCCCATAGGGCTGCTGTAGCACTGGTGATATAAACAGTACAGTTATGCATGGGCCAGTCATGGATGTGCCACTGATGGCTCAAGCTGCCAGGCAGCGAGACATATGAGTTATGGCCCAGTTGTGAACGTGTTAATAAATTGTAGCTAAGTAAAACTGGGTTCAATGATCTTATCAAAACCTCCCTTTGAGGGAGGTTCTTAAAACAAGGAAGGAGAACCTGTTAGGCCTTGTCTTGTGCCTGAAAATGCTGGGGTCTTGCTTAAAAAGCTAGGGTCAGCAGAAGACCTAATATCAAAGCAGAGAAAAATCACTTGTGTGTGACATGCTGTAGATATGGTTATTGATAACCATACTTGGATTTCTGCACTAAGCAGGTAGTCAAACAAAAGATCATTTCAAAGTATTTGAATTCTACAGGAGAACAATGTGGCTTTCTGTGGGATTTTCTACCACACACATGGATTCCTAGTACCATCAGTGTCATAGTTTCATTTGGTCAAAAAAAAAAAGAAAAAGAAAAAAACATAATATATCATCAGTAGAATGTGAGTTCATTTTTATAACCTGATAAATATTTAAACAACAGAGTTCATACCTCCTTTATGCCAGACTTTGAAGACCAGAGTTTGCTGGGGGTCCAGAAGAAGCTCTTTTGATAGTCTATTAAAATAGACAATCACCACAAATTAACTGTAGGAATCTTCTTTAGCATTAAACAAGGTTTGAAGAAACACTGTAGCTTACCAACATTATTTCACTTCATTGTCACAATCGCCATTCTAGAACATACTTTTATCTTCCCAGTCAAGAGAAGGGGATGGCAGCTTAGAGGTGAAGTAATTTGCCAGGACCCCTGATGAGGGCACTTCCCCTTGCCCCCATAGCCCAGTCTCTTGTTTCTCTAAAGACAGAGAAGGGAGTATGGGAAGGGAGCTTCTCAATATGCAATGACAGCTCTACTGGGGTGGCTAAGGATTCTTCTTATGCCTTAAGGTAGGGCGATGGTGAGAAGGGAAAAGGGGAAAAAGAATATTTACTGAGTGCCTACCATGGGACAGAGGTAGTGTCAAAGTGTTTCATGTATATTTAATCTGCACAAAAGCCTGTGATATGGGAATCACCATCCCTATTTTACAGATTATGGAGCTAGTAGGCTCAGAGATGTAAAGTGATTTGTTTAAGGTCACATAAGAGAAACTGGCAGCGTTGGGTTTTGACCCCTGGTTTGCCTGATTCCAATGCTACCCAGCACAGAAGCAAGTACACAAAGTAAGAAAGTTCCTGGTTTTCCTAATAGATAAAGAAATTGAAGTGTAAATCACTGAGCACCTTGAATACATACTGTAAGAAGCAAGTTATGTATTTTTAATTACAAACTAAACTCTGTGAAGTTCTCAACCAGGTGCCAATGCTCCAGCTGAACAAAATGAAGATCCAGAGAAGACTGCAAGACTTAATTTTGTTTCCTAAATACACAGTGATCTAAAGAGAGCCTACTTCAAGATCAACAAGGGGAAGTAAAAATGTCAAGATGTGACAGTAACAATACCTCAAAATGATTGTTATTATTATGTATTACAAACATATACCAATGAAAATACACTCTGAAAACAATGCACTGTGCTAAAGTGAAACAGTGTCAGGATTTTAATTGCAGTTGGGAGTCAAAAGATTCACCTTTGAATTCTAGCTCTACTATTAGTACTTGAGTTGACCCTGTGCATACACTTAGCATCTTGGAACCCTAGTCCTCCTATCTGTTACATGGGATAATATCATCTACATACAAGGAGCCAGAAGGATCAAATAAAATAATTTTGTGATGAAAGAATTATAAATATACTACTATTCATTTTTCTTCTAACCCTGCCTTTGTTATAGGATCATGTAGTCTATTCCAGTAGACTTTATATAATCTCCCTATATCACCACCTCTTCCGCTGAAAAAGTTCTTTCATCAAGTTCAAAAAGTATTGTAGGCCGGAGATTTAACTCAGTGGTTCTGCCACCTGCCTCAAAAGTGCAAGGTCCTGAGTCTCATCCCTGGTACCATAAAAATGTTTTATAATTACATTATGTAGTTTTTGTGATGAAAAATCATCTCAGCTCTGAAGCTCAATAATCTGGTTTCTTGACTTCTGGACCAGAGGTGATATTTTAGATAGCATTCCCTGGCCACTGGTGCCAGAATTTCTGTAATTCCCAGTAGCTCACCATTAGGAATTATGTAAATGAGTTTTCATTCAGACCAGCCTCTCAAATTACACAACACTGAAACTTAATGAGGTACACCAACCTACCTATAGTATGGGTATTGTGAGAAAATACCATATAGTATGGCTAGTGTTGGTGGGAAAGAATTAAACTTATAAGAGGTAATGCAGAGTAATAAACAGTAACCATAGTTAGTATTAGGAACCATACTTTTTTTTTCCCCCTCCCTGGTACTGGGGATCAAACTCAGCACCCTGAGCTCATGAGGCAGGTATGGCTCCACTGAGCTAAATCCCTGGCCCCAGGAACTGTACTTTAAATGATGACCAGTAATTCAAAGAAAAGGAGGACCAACCTGGCATGCCAGTTCTGTGCCATCTCTGCCAGCTCAATTTTTCTGAGTAGCACTGCAACTTGATTAATAGGATTTTACCTCCTATATTTTAGTCCTACAAAGGACAGTTGACATTTATTTGATGGATATATATACTAGGTACCAAGAAGCAATTTTCCTAAATATCATCTCATTTGTATCTATAAAATTATCCCCACTTTATAAATGAGGAATCCAAGCCTCAGAGATATTATTATATAATTTGTTTACATAGCTAATAAATACCAGAGTGAGATTGGAGGGCAAATCTTTCTTGTTCAAAAGAATAGTCTCTTTCTATTGTACCAGAAGTCTTTTCCAAGGATAAATAATCCGTAGCCTTTCCTGAGATTAGTTCTCTCTGCCTGGAATACTCTTCCCACTCTTCTTCATTCTTCAGTATTGAGCTGAGGTGACTGTCTTATTAATGAAGCTTATTATCTTGAACTTCCAGGTTGGTCTAAATTATCCTTCTTTGAGCTCCACTAGCATCATTTTTATTTCTTTTACATACTTATCACACTTGATTGTAACAATTTTTATTTGTGTTTCTTTCTAAGTAAACCATTAACTTCTCAATAGCAGACTGTTTGTGTGTGTGTGTGTGTGTGTGTGTGTGTGTGTGTGTGTGTGCACGTGCGCACGCACAGGGGTGGGGGGGATTGAATTTAGGGCCAACTCTACCATCAAGCAAATCTCTAGTCCTTTACAAATATTTTTATTTTGAGAAGAGGCCTTGCTAATTTGCCTAGCCTGATCTTGAACTTGGGATTCTCCTGCCTCAGCCTCCTCTGAGTAGCTGGGATTATAGGCAGAATGCCACTGTGCCCAGTGCAGTATTTTTTAAAAAAACATGATCTTAGCCAAAAGGCTAAGAAACGATAGGTACTTTTTTTCTGGTATCAGGAATTGAATTCAGGGTCTTGTGTTTGCCGCTGAGCTATATCCCTTGCCCCATCCCTTTTTTTCTTTTTTGTGGTACCGGGAATCAAACTCAGGACCTTTGTGCTTTTTTTTTTTTTTTTTTTAAAGATGAGGTTTCGCTATGTTCTAGCCTGGCCCTGAACTTACTATGTAGTCTAGGCTGGCCTCAAACTCGTGATCCTCCTATCAGCCTCCTAGAATACTGGGGTTACAGGCATGTACCACTATGCCTGGCTCAAAGAGCATTATCTTAATCATCTTCAAAGTGCCTACAACTGGCAGGGCATATAAAAAGCCATTTCACTAAATAATTTTTGAGTTGAATGAACGAGAATTAAAAACACTACAACAAAAGCTTTAAACCACTGCTAGCTGTAAATTCAGAAGCACTAGGATTAAATGATTGCTTATGTAAGGAAATCATTTTTCCAGTTTTGCTCAAATACTGTTGTATTTATTATACTTCTTAATCCAAGTCCATTTCCTGGAACAAAAAAGCCAATTCTGGTATTGGGGATTTAGCTCAGTGGTGCCACCATCTGCCATGCAAGCACAAGGTCCTGAATTCAATCCTGGTACCAAAAACCAAAAACCAAAAACCAAAAAAAAAAAAAAAAAAAAAAAAAAAAAAACCAAAACCCAAAACCAAAACCAAAACCAAAAAAACCCCACTTCCCCCCAAAAACAAACTCCCACCCACCCACCAAACAAATAAACAAACAAAAAACCAATCCTGGAAGGGTGATGAACATCATAAAATACACACCTTGACTGCTGTTGAAAGTTCCAGATAGGGGAATCTGTGTTTTCAACCACTTGGGTGTACACAGGAGATGGCTCATCTGCTGTTGCAAAGGATACACAACAACTGGGTATGGGTACTTTCCGCTCTGTCAAGGGGCTCCCTGAAATAGAATATAATAGAGTGATTACACTTTAGGATACCCCCCCCAAAAAAAAAGTCTGAGAAGAAGCCCCCTGTGATACAGGTATAGTCAGGACCATTCCTAGCCATCTCCTACTTTCAGGTCTTTGCTCAAGCTACTCCCTGTATCTGAAATGTTTCTTGCAACCTTTCTGCTACTTTGCTCTGCCACTGATCTAGTAAACTACTTCATTCTGGCTCCCGGGACCTAAATTTTCTCTTCTGAAATCTGCTCTCAAATCACTCCCCACAACAAAATTCTAATTTTAGATGTATATCAACATTACTCAGATCTCTTTTTAATACCACTGGCTCACCAGCCCTTGACCTCTGAATTTTATTCTTGAAACTACTATTTGCTAAAGGCCGTGAAACAAAACCACTATTTTCATTTTGGAAGAAAATTGTTCCTTACTCAGAAACAGTCCTGTAGGCCAAACAGGCAGGTAATAAAGAAATCAACATGGGAGGGCAGGTCTATCAGGTTTCCCTGGTTTCCTTTTATGGGTGGAAATTCATCTAGGCCTGTTACATTTCTGGAAAGGTCAAGTTCTGAAACACTTTTGAAGGTAGTCCAGAAGAAAGTCACTGTACCTCCCACAGAGTTAAGACATACACTAAGAACAGTTAAGAACATATACCATGAGGTAAACCAACTTTACCATTTAATAATTTTCAATGAATTTCTTATGTTTTATGTAAGTATAAATAGTAGTTTTTTTTTTCTTGATACTGGAATAAATAGTAGTTTTCTGCACCAAGAATGGCATAGTTGTTTCAATGAGATTATAAGTAACAACTTCTCATGTTTCAGTAATATTTTATAGCAGGCACACTGTTTCCTTATACACTGAATTTATGCTGATAACACTTCTGGAAATCATTTCAGATAGATGGCTCTCTCCATATTTTACAAGTAAGGAAATTGAGGAATAGAACAGTAAAATGGTTTCCTCATTCCACACGATTAGAACAATCAGCCAAGTTCTTTACTTTTGTCTGGTTTCTCCATTGTAATATTTAGCTCAGTGGTTCTGCCGCCTGCCTTGCAAGCACTAGGACCAGAGTTCAATCCCCAGTACCAAAAATAAATAAATAAAAGATAGATGGCTCTCCATATTTTACAAGTAAGGAAATTGAGGAATAGAACAGTAAAATGGTTTCCTCATTCCACACGATTAGAACAATCAGCCAAGTTCTTTACTTTTGTCTGGTTTCTCCATTGTAATATTTAGCTCAGAGGTTCTCCCCC